CATGTGTTTGGTGTCTTTACCTTTTTAAAAATAATTTTTTTTTAGATATAAAAATAAATTATTCTTCTGTTAACTTGGGGCACACCTGGTTAGGTTGAGAAAAGTTGGATTAAACATTCCAGTATCAAAAAGAGGTTTTCTTTTTTAAAAGTATTTTATAGAAGTTGATAATGCTATGTAAATTCACTGTAAATTGATCCTCGTATAGAACCCAAAACAAAATATGCTCATAAAACATGTTCAATAGTAATATATTAAAAGAAATTCCAGATTATGAATTAAATTTTTTTTACATTTTAAGAAATTACATCATACATTCACATTTTCTTTTGATTTCTGTAGGAAACACTGGTTTCCAAACAGTGCGCCATGTCTCATAGGTGCAGGTGAGGCAGAATGATTGAGAAACAGTTTTAAAAACATTCATATACCAAAAATAAATATGTTTTCAAAATTTAAAATATTATTATGGATTACTTGTAATTGCATACATGGGACCCAGTATAAATAGTTATAAATAATTATTGACCAATTTTATCATTATGAGATTTTTGCATTATATCAAGTATTAACAATATAGTAACTAGGGTCTGCAAATTGAAGGAGAGAGTTATCAATGATAATGTTCTGACTTTGAATCCACGGTTATCTCTCTTTAACCCCGCCTCTCTCTCTCTCTCTCTCTCTCTCTCTCTCTCTCTCTCTCTCTCTCTCTGTTTTTTTTTTAACTTTAAATGTACTTTTTATCGTATAAAATTTGGTGAGGTGTGAACAAATTTTCATTCAGAAAATGCAGCCCAGATAAAAAAGAGTTTGAGAATCACTGAGATAGATGGATGAATTTGCATAGTAAACTGGAATCCCTATTAACTTTTATAGAATTTTATTAAAATTATTTTATATTTTTTTTATATTCGTGATCTGGAGTGCTTTTCTTTTCTGTTTTTTTTTAAAATTATTTCACTCCAAGCAAGCCAACAAAGTTACTAAGACACAAGGGTTTGCTGAATGTAAAAAATATAAGAAAAACTTTACTAAGGAGCAAGAACAATAAAGGAACAGAATTTAAAATGACAGAAGATAACAATAGACATTGCATTTAAATTTTTGAAAATCAAAGTTCACTCAAAACCAAGAAACCAGTCGGCAGTTCCACAAGCAAGAAGTACAATAGAAAAAACTTTTGGTTACATCCTGCCATTTCAACTGTAAAATGATGACACCTTGCCGCCAATCTAGTAATGCACTTAAATTCATAAAACCTATGTACCATAGAGGAGAGATCATCAGAAGATTTACCATGAAAGTATTTATAGAAAAGGCATATGGATGCTACATTACAGGGGGCAAGAAAGTGACTGAAGCTGAAATGCCAGGTGAGGACCAATAGCATTGCAGATTTTTTGTATTTTATCAAGAATCTCTAAATACATAACAGAAGCACCAAACCAGATGTGGCAGCAATATTCAATTGATGGATGAATGGTAGACTTTTAAATATGTAAGATTCTGTTAAGAAGAATTGTCGAGTGCCAGGCCAATCTATTGCAATATTATAAAAAATATTTGAAAATAACAATCATTTCAAGTTACTGTGCCTATTGTACAACTCTTTTCATAGTAGAAACAGAATTTTCTGTTATTGTACACTCAACAAATGAAATGCCATAATTTATGACTGAGGTTATTTTTTGCTCCCAGATTATTTTCATAAATGGATATTAATTTTTTAATTGCATAGTACTTATAAACAACTTCTTCTGTATGTCATGTTCTTTCAGGATTTTGGTGATCACAGCTCTTCACAATTTCTTGTCTTTTGTAGCTTTTAATAACTTTTGTTATTTTGCCATCTCACCCAAATGCTGCTCCACCATCCATTTGCACAACCTGCTTAGAGAGTTTGTGCATTGCTTTCCTCTGGCACTCTTGCCTTCAATCTGTCCATGTCCTATTAGGATTCAGTATTGACAGCTACAATCTTAACATAAAATATGTAAATAACACAGTGCTGATAGCAGACACAGAAAGAAAACTACAAAAGCTCCTACAGAACAGGTGAAGAAAAGCAAGAAAAAAGGAATAACATCAACTGCAAGAAGACAGAATGCATGGTTGTTAGCAAACGGATGAGCCAAAAACAACCAAGAACAAAAATTTAAATATCTGGGAAGTGTTCCAACAGAGGACAGAAAATGCAACAGTAAAATCCAAAAATGCATTGGGATAGACAAAGATGCCTTCCAAAAGCTAAACAGAGTATTAAGAAATTCTGGGAGATATTTTTTCAGATATTTTTTTTTTTTTTGACAGGAGTAGTGAGTGTCTTAGATCATCAAATATAGTAAACAATTTTGGGGGTCTCTCCTAATCTTAGCACTATGCAAAAGACAGGACAAGGAATTGTTGCATCATCTTAAAAACACATGTAAAAAGACTCATATTTATTTTCTCAATAGAATTAAATAAAATGAAAAAAAAACTGATACATAAATCTGATCTTTACAAAAGCTAAAAAAGAAAACATTAACATGTCATATCATGAGTCCTGTAAGCCGTTAGGTTTGTAATAGCACCACCTGTACTGCAGCCAGAACAACAGAGGTGCATCCCAGTCAAGATAGCCTGACGGAGCCCATCCATCTTCAGCTTAGTTTTGAATTCAAAGTTTTCCTTCTCCTAGACTGGTTGCCACCTCAAGTCAATAGAGCCCAGTTTTCCTTACTATTTAACCCATAGCATGAAGGAAGATGGATTCATGCCGTTTCCAAGGCCATTAGTGTAAGATGAACAAAACAGAATCAAGTGGTGTATTGAATACTGTTGCCATATCTGGTCTGGTGCTTCTTCTGTGCATCTTGAGATTCTTGGCAAAATCCAGAGAAGGATCTGCAATACAATCAATCCTGACCAAGCATCTCACCTCCAGTCATTTTCTCACTGATGTGACACGGCTTCCCTTTGCCTGTTCTACAAATATTTTCATGGTAACTGTTCGGACAAGTGTTCTTTCCTGGTGTCCTGACTACATAAATTTAAGCATGCTACTGGATTGGCAATTAGTTGTTAAACTAGCTAGATACAACCATAATTCCAACTCTAACAGTTTTTTTTTCCTGCACTTCCCATCTGTGGAACTCCCTTCACTTTCCTTGCTTCCCTAATAACTACAATCTCTAAATGCAATGTCAAATGCCATCTTCTGTCTTCTTGAACCTTGTTCCTTTTTTTGCCCTTTTTTCAATCCTCCCCATTTTCAATCTTCTCATTCAATTTAACTCCCTGTATCTCTCTGCATTCTAATGGCACTGCCATTTTACTTGGGGTGAAATGATTAAAAAAAAAAATTAAGCTCTGTAAACCAAATCCAGGATGTGCATTGAGATGTAATGGATATCAGTTCGGATAGAAGAATTGGATAGCTGATTTTGAATTCCAGTCGAGCTTGTTACATTCATTTATGTGAAAATTCCCTTGGGAGAGGTACGAATCCATCTCTTCCCCAACCCCAACTATGGGTTGATTAGCAGGACACACTGGGTCCTATAGCCTTGGTTGGCAACCAGTCTACCTCTGAAAATAAGAAATGAAGTAAAATCAAGCTCATATTATTCCGAGCTTAATTTCTTTTGAACACGTTCATTTTTGGAAGATTGCACAATCACCAATCTACTATGAAACTTATGAAGCTTAAGGTTCAGGGCCCTTAATTCCAGAGAAGGGCCCTGAAGCAAAATTTTTTGATCAGTGAATTTTTTCAACAAATCGATGTTTTCTTTTTTTTCAGTCAGTTAAGGGCCATACATGATATACACTTGGACGATCATGTCTCTTTTGATTCATGATTGACTAGGCAGAAGATTTTCTCACAGTAGATTGCCATTTCTTTCTACGATAGACTGGGTGCCAACCAAAGCTATAGAACCCAGTCTTTTCATGCTGTTCAACCCATAGCTGGGGGAAGTAGAGATGGGTTCATAACTTTCCCAAAGATATTTCTACTTCTATATTTTGGATAGTAGTCATTTCCTTGTTCAAATTTAAATTTAATTTAAATCAAAGGGAAAAAATTTTCAGTGGGGGTGTTTGTGCAAAAACAGCTTGATTTGACCCCCTTGATATGTATCTGATGCAATACTTGATTTTATGAATTGATGAGCAGATTTGAACATTGATATGACAATTGAATTGTCGCAACAAATATGCATTGTAAAGCATTACCCACTAATTAGTGATTTCTTGCTTAACTTCATATCCATATTGTCTCCTTTTGATCTTGCCAATTTGTCCTCCATCTTCTGGCTTTCTCCTTCTATATTTTGGATAGGTCATTCTCTTGTTCAAATTTAAATTTTATTTAAATCAAAGGGAAAAAAATTTTAGTTGGGGGTTGTGCCCCCGGGGTCCACCTTTGATCAAAATGAAATATACTTATCCAAGTAATCATCCTGGGTAATGTAGTTTCAGAATATATATGGTTATGGGGGTCTATCTCCAAAACCCTATGAGGAGTTCAATAACAAACAAACAGAAGCTACAACTTTATATATATATAGATATGTGCACCCTCATATCAACCCACAAACTGAAAATGCATGATAATTTTTTTGGTGCGTAAATGAAGGGAAAAACATGGAGAAAATATGAAGGCAAAAATAATTTATTTAACAAATTGCAAAATGTTTTTAATTAGGGAATATTGTTAGTTAAGATAACGATATAAAAGATGATGGGAAAAAAAGAGACAAAAAGGAAACAAAAATTATGTAAAAATGATTGAAAATGGATAAAAGAATAAATAGGTAATTAAAAAAGGGTGAATAAAAAAGAATGAAAAAGAAAGACATGAGAAATCAATAATTTTTTTTTGTTATATTTAAATATTTAAAAAAAAATATTTTATTTCTCAAGGAAGAAGAAAGAAATTTTTAAAATGAATAGAAGGTTAAAGAATGAGTAAAATACTAAAAAATAATAAAAGAAATACAAAAGGAATTTTTTTAAATGAAGGAGGATTTATTTAAAAAAAAAAAAGGAAGAGAAAGAAAATAAACAAAAGAAATGGAAAAAAAATGACAAAAATGGATAAAAATAAGTGAATCAAAAGAAAGAAAGATTTGGAAAGTTAACAAGTTTTTAAGAGAAAATATTAAAAAAAATAGAAAGAAAATTATTTTTTTAAAAGTGAGAGATTTAAAGAAGCAAAAAATGAAGAGAAAGAAATGAAACCAAAGATGAATAGAAAGGAAGGAAGAAAGTAGTAAAAAATTGAATACTTTAAAAGATAACAAGAAAATATAAGGAGAGCAGAAAAATGAAAAGAACAAAAACAAAAAAATACAGAAAAAATATAAATATTCAAAAGGAGGCAAGTGAAAAGAAAAAGGAAGAAGAAAAGACATAAAAAAATAAATAATGACTTAAAGGATGATGAAAATATTTAAAAAGAAGAAAGAAGTAAAGAGTTAAGAAATGAAAAATAGAAAAAGAAGGCAAAAAATGCAAATGAAATTTTTCAAAAAATTTCCTTTTAAAAAAGTAAACAAAAAAAACAAAGAGGATGAAAATAAGCAAAAAAAAAAAAAAATGGAACTCCAATTGGATAGTTAAAGAAAAAACCAAGAAAGATGGAAAAAAAGGGAGGAAGACAGACATAAAAATGAATAAAGATTTAAAGAAAGAAGAAAATATTAAAAAAAACAAAAAAATAAGAAAAGAAAAACGTTTAAAAAGAAAGAATGAAGAGAAAAACAAGAAAAAAATGGAAACAAAAATGGATGGAAAAGACGAAAGCAGTTAAAACAAAAAAAATCATCAATAAAAACAAAATTCAAGGAAAATATAAGAAAAACAGAAAACTGAAAAGATAAAATAAAAAAGTAAAAAGAAAAGAATGTAAAAAGAGGAAAGACTATAGAAAAGAAAGATTTAGAAAAATAAAAAAAGAGAAAACTTTTATATAATGAAAATCTAAAACAAAGGAAAAATTTTAAAATATTTTTTTAAATTCTAAATTTTTCTAATTTTTTTTTCCATGAAGTAAATTTTTTTAAATCAAGAAATATAACTTGAATAAAAAAAATGACTTTTTTTTTTACTATTTTCAATTATATTTTTAAAGCTCTATTCTAGTCGTTATTTTTAGCCCTTCTGTCAGATTCAGTCGACAATTCCTGAAAAACTGGCAGCTTTTCTATTAATTTCCATAGCATATTGTCAATTTTGAAGGTCAACATTGGAAATAAATTAACTGCAGGAGGGGCAGGAACCAAATCCTGGTGCATTTATTTAATACATTGTCTGTTTATTGGGTTGCTCAGAAAGTAATGCCGCATTTTTGGAGGCAGAATAAAATCCCATTCAAATAAAGTAAAATTCACCAAGGTATATCAAAACTATTTATAATTTTGCCGACTTTCACTCTGAACTTTATTTTATATGCATATATATAGATTAACAATAATTCTACTATATTATTCATATTGTTATTAGATTCACATAAAAATAATTGTACTTTTTAACCATCGACTTCAAGTACTACAGGCTCTCATAAACTCTGAATTAGTTGAGCTTCTCACATCTCTGCGTTTTCCTTCAAAAAAGTAATACGGCTTTCGCATCTCTAGGTCAAATGCCAATGTGTTAACATTTATTGTTGAAAGTTTTTGACAAGAATAATGAAGCTCTGGATGTTACTTGAGATATCTTGAAAATATTTGGCAGGGTTTGACATGCTAGTCTTCTTTGCAAGTTGAAAGGTTATGGTATTTCTGTGGTTAAGCTTCTCACATCTCAGGGTCTTCTTTCAGACAAGCAATGGTTTTTGCTTGGTCAACTACCAGTGTGTTTACAGTTATTGCTGAAAGAGTCTATCAAGCTTTAGACAAGAATGCTGAAGTTCTGACTGTTATTTTAGATATCTTGAATATGTTTGACAGGGTTTGGCATGCTGATCTTCACAAGTTAAAGGGTATTTCTTAACAAATTTTTGATTTGATTCAATCTTTCTTATCAAAGCATGAAATGAATGTTGCCTTGAATGGCCACTCTTCTAGATCTTTTTCCATTAATGTGGGTATCCTCCAGGTCTCTATCCTTGGACCTACTGTGTTCCTAATCTTCATCAACGTCCTTACTGATGTCATCAGTTCTTGACTTGCGATATATGTTGTTGACACAACTATTTACACCTGTCTGAATGGTAACCTCATTCGGTTTGATAAGACAGTTGACCTTCAATCTGTTGTTAACTGAGGCAAGAAATGGCTTGTTTGTTCTAAGCCATCCACAATGAAGCTGCTCTCTTTTAATCCTTTTTGCTTTCAATCAGCATGGCTGATGCTAACCTCCAGAAGAATAACTCATTGCACCTTCTTGGTCTGTCATGAATTGCCAGGTCTGCTGCTAGGAAAATTGGTTCACACTGTCATTCTAAACAATTTTTTTCATCAGAATCCATCTGACACCTTTATAAGTTTACCATTCATCCATGCATGGAATAATGCAAGTACATTTGATTTGGGGGTTCTGTTTCATACATAGAGATTCTTGACAAAATCCAAAGAAGAATTTGCAATTTTATTGATCCTAACCTGGCATCTTGGTAATTGTTCTGATAAACTTTCCTCTCTGTTAACTCGACTTTGCAAATTTAAGTACAGTACTAGATTGGCAGCTAGGTCTGTTGAAATTGTTAGATGTAGCCATGAATTCTATGCCAACAGTTTCTTCTCTCACACTTCTTGATTATGGAACCCTCTTCTGTTTTTTTACATTCCTGTAAATTATCATTTATATACAATGTCAATCATCACCTTGCATCTTCTTGAATCTTGTACTTTTATTACCCATTTTCCTCAAAAACATATTCTCATATTCTTTCACACTCAATAACCCCTTGCACCTTAGTGGCTTTAATGCTTTGGTTGGGGTGACTTGATTAAAAAAAACAAAACACTTTATTGTAATATATCTCAACATAGAATATAAAGATTTTTAGGCAATATTTTTACCATGATGCCAGTAAAAAAAATGGTGTGTCAAAAGGACAGTTAATTCCTTGACACCGCTATTACTGTATACACATTTGACTCCCTCAGCAATGTGTATTGTTTTAAAAAACAATGTTTATAATTTTTGTGTTACTTTGGTTTGTAATCTACAAGGAAAAATATCTACACCATACAAATTTTATTTTGGAGTGATATCCACATAGTAAAACATGACAGATATATGACAATAACATAGAGAAAATGTAATTAAAATATTTAAAAATTTTCTATTAATAATATTTTAGTGATAAACAGCACGTACATTGGGTAAAAAATGTTAAATAGAAGGTCAGGTGTGTAGATTCATAACATTTAGATCGCAATATAAAGTGTCGATCGCATACCAAAGTAGATTCATGACACATAGATAGCAAGCCAAAGTAGCAATATAATTTTAATAAAACCCAAACATATGAAAGTGGATTTATATATTTTTTTTATTCATGAAAATTGCCAACAAAGATATTAAGCACTATTTAATTATTAGATTGCTTATTGATATAATGGAATATGCATACACCTGTCTGTCCCCCTCACTGGAATATGATTGGCTGATGTCCGTCATAAATACCGACGGATGTGTAGGTACAAGAGTCAGAGCCTTAGTCTGAGAGCTAAGTCTATAACGATGCCCATTGGACTACACCATTGATTTACACTTCTTACCTGTGACTACGATGCATACCAGTCGATTACTGCTACCATATTCTACTTGGTTATAGTAGCCAAAACCACTTAGCTACTTCATTCAAATATATCCCTTTCCGGGACATATCACTTATTTACAAGAATAATTTTATATTTACAAGATTATAAAAATATGTGAATATCCTCCTTATTCTCTGTCTTCCCATTCTATTTCACTTTCCTTCCCTGTAAACCCCTACCCTAAACCCCACTCATACTCGTGGCATTACTACCTGGTTTGGTGTGAAATGATTAAAAAACAAAAACTATAACAAAATATTTGTTATTTGCCATTTTATACAGAAATAAGTATAAAAAAAATTATTCATAAAATTATAAAAATGTCTGTGAACAAGAAAATTTCAATAAAGATATGACAAGTAATTATAATTATAAATAAAAAAAATCCATTTTCTGGGCATGTTCTCTCACCACATGAATTCAATAAAAATTTGATCTCACCACATAAACAATAAATTTACTCTCACCACATAGAAGACAAAATTGCTCTCACCACATAAATAAAATTGCTCTCACCAGCTAAATGAAAAATTTACTCTCACCACATAAAAGACAAAATTGCTCTCACCACATAAAAGACAAAATTGCTCTCACCAGCTAAATGATAAATTTACTCTCACCACATAAAAGACAAAATTACTCTCACCACATAAATAAAATTGCTCTCACCAGCTAAATGATAAATTTACTCTCACCACATAAAAGACAAAATTGCTCTCACCACATAAATAAAATTTCTCTCACCAGCTAAATGATAAATTTGCTCTCACAGAAAAAAAGTTGGGAATATCTCATCCTATTACATTGATAATTTTGTAAATTTTTTATGGATTTCTGAATAAAAAGTTAAATGTATTTCTTTATAAATGTAAATAAATATTGCATTGTACTTGGTTCACATATTTTATAATCTTGAAAATAAACATTGATGAGGACATTAAAAGTGTATACAGTAATAGAAGTGTCAAGGGAATAATTGTCCTTTTATCACACTGTTTTGGGGGATTTTTTTACAGGCACAAAGGTTAAACATTGCCAATTTTAATTCTTCAGGAGAATATGTTTAGTCCCCCAATGACTTGACCATAAATAATGGGTAATAGAAGGTCATAGATAGTGACCTGATATGAATAAATATACTGAGACTAAAATGGCATATGGCATATTGTTGGGAAATTCATGGTTATTATAAATAAAGGTTTCAATCTCACAACAATCAAAAGGAATGCATGTTTACCACATGAGCTATGATGAAAATATAAGAGAGAGAAATATTAATAATGGTATATAATAATTTTTATGTAGTGGCTTTCATGAGACATGAAAATTATTTCAAGGGTGGCACAAGGGTAAAAAGATTGAGAAACACTTTTTATGAATGTTAATGTTGGTGGAATAATGCAGGATTTGTCTCTGATGATTTCTTAAAAATAAAAGCATGAAATTTACAGCAAAGTGAAAAGTGAAAGATGTCTTTTTAATCATTTCACCCCAAGCAAGGCAATAAAGCTACTAAGACACATGGGGTTACTGAGTGTTAGAGAATATGAGACAAAAAACACTATTAAGTAGAGAGAACAATAAAAGAACAAGAATTAAAAAGACGGTAGATAATGATTGCTGCTGCATTTAAATTTTTAAACATCAAAATTGACTCGGAAGTAAGAAACCAGAAGAGAGTCCTACAAGTGAGAAGTATGATAGAAGAAACTCTTAAAATAGAACATATGGCTACACCTGGCCATTTAAAATATAAAATGATGAGACCTAACTGACAATCTAGTAGTGCATTTAAATTCATATGGTCTAGGTACCATAGAGGAAAGTGATATTTATTCTGTTTTCTACAGAAATGTGGCACAAGGCCAAAAAGGGGATTGGGGAAAGGACGGTCTTCTTCTGTCTTAACTATAACTTAGCTAGCCGCAAACACTGACCCAATCGTACGAACAATATTCCTTACACCAAAACAACACATTCATACATACCTTTCTTACTACAACCACCATAATACCTCTTTGTCTCTATGAAAATACTAACTAGTCCCCATATTTACAATTCATTGTCTGTGGGGGGAGGAGAATAAAACAACAATTCTAAAAACTAGCCCCAATGAGTATTTACAATATGAATACAAAAACTATTTACAAGAAACTAAAGAGGAAAGTTCATCCAAACAATTACCATGAAAGTATTTATTAAAAAAGGCACAGGGAAGGTACATTATGGAAAGAGAAAAGAAGGCAAGACTGAAGGCAAGATGGCAGGTCAGGACTGATAACATTGCAGATCCTTCTTTGGATTTTATTAAGAATCTCTAAATAAATATCAGTAGCACCAGAGCAGACAAGGCGGCAATATTCAAAGCAAGGACAAATGGTAGACTTATAATTATGTAAGATAGATTCTAGAGAGAAAAATTATCTAGCACAACACAAGGAACCAACTTTCCGTTATGGTCCAGGTCCTTGTACGACGGTGATGGTCCAAGGTAGAACCAATAAAGAAGAACTCGAACACGGATATGGAATAACACAGATATATTACAAACAGGAATATATACAGATAAGTAGAAATTGTTAGTACGAACAATCAGCTTTAGTAGGGAGAACAATGTAGTCTCGACTAGTATCACTATTCCAATGTCTTGTAGTAATTGTCTGAACGCGACTCTGTTTCGGACTGCCTCTGACTTGACTCACTCTGACTGACTGATAGACTCCTGATGGACCTCACTCCAGACTTCAGACTGAACTCTCTGCTTCCTCTCGAGGCGCAGTATTTATTACGTATGGAGTAGTCCATTATGTTATTATGGGTAAGGTCCCATAACACTTTCCAAGCAATTGATTCAATATAATCTTTCCACTTCATGTCAGCAAATAGCGTTAACCCGAGAAGGTTAATAAATCACACTCCAGGAGGTTAGAATCAGCCATGCTGATGTAAGGTAAACAAGGTTCTCTCAGCTGACTAAAAGAGAGCAGTTAGATTTTGGAGACATTAAAATTAAGAAGCCATTACTTGCCCCAGTTAACAACAAAAAGTATTATATTTATCCTTAAAATGTGTTAATCTGCTCAACGAAAAGTGTGTTATTTTTCTGAACACAATGTAATTTTACATTCAGCAATATAAACACAGAGAGCAAAAAATTGGTTGGTTATAATCACACAAGCAGACGAAAGCAAATATATTGAAAACACATAGCTTTATGTATAGACCTACTTTCACTGTTCTCGAACAATATGCATACATAAAGTATGTGTATGTATTACATATCCAAGTATATAAAAGGCAGGCTTTACATATACATGGTAAATACATGTCTTTGGATAGATAGATAGATAGATAGATAGATAGATAGATAGATAGATAGATAGATAGATAGATAGGGAGAGAGAATTCTGGATAGATAGATAGATAGATAGATAGATAGATAGATAGATAGATAGATAGATAGATAGATAGAGAATTGGGGATAGATAGATAGAGAAGGAGAGAGAATTATAGATAGATAGATAGATAGATAGATAGATAGATAGATAGATAGATAGATAGATAGATAGATAGATAGATAAGAAGAGAGAATTGTGGATAAATAGATATAGATAGAGAGAATTGCAGATAGATAGATAGATAGATAGATAGATAGATAGATAGATAAGGAGAGAGAATTGCAGATAGATAGATAGATAGATAGATAGATAGATAGATAAGAGAGAGAATTGTGGATAGATAGAGAGGGAGAGAGAATTGTGGATAGATAGATAGACAGATAAGGAGAGAGAATTGTGGGTAAATAGATAGAGAGGGAGAGAGAATTGCGGATAGATAGATAGATAGATAGATAGATAGATAGATAGATAGATAGATAGATAGATAAGGAGAGAGAATTGTGGATAGATAGATAGAGAGGGAGAGAGAATTGCAGATAGATAGATAAGGAGAGAGAATTGTGGATAGATAGATAGATAGATAGATAGATAGATAGATAGATAGATAGATAGATAGATAGATAGATAGTGAACTATAGATAAACATAAAGATCAAATCATGAAGTGGCTTTGTATGTCTGCCTTTAAGCTCAGCACTTTAAGACTTTTCTTCGGTTAGGTCACTTGGACACTTTCTTCATAGCAAATCCTTTAAAGTAAGGAAAAAATTAATGCAGCATTTTTAGAATTCTTTGCATTAGCTTCTTTGGCAGTTAGTTAATTTTCAGATGCCAACTAAATTTCTCTTCAAACATCATAAGCAATAAATTTATTTATCGGAAACACATTTCTCATTATCAACATGTTAATTCGCTTATTTTTCGTTGAAATCTACAAATATTTTTCCTGTCACCAGGAATACTTAATTGAATCAATTCCTTGATTATTTTTCACCCAATGCAAAATACTAGAACCACTCAATGTAGAGGGTTACTGAATGAGGTTGATATATGGATGTAAGAAGAGGAAGTATGCGCAGATTTTGAGGATACATACCATAGATAAAGGTTGGTTCTAGCCATTTATCTGGAGCACTTTAATAAAACCCAAAGAAGATTCAGCAATATTATTGGTCCTGGTCTGGCATCTCAGATTCAGTCACTTTCCCATTGTTGTAAGGTTGCCTTCCTGTGCCTTTTCTATAAATACTTTCATGCTAATTGTTGTTTTTATCACACACCCCCACAGACAAGAGTTGTATATATGGGGACTAGTTAGGGCTCCATGGAGATTTTTCATGTGAGCAACGACAAAGTTTTAGAGAAAATGGCAACAAAAAGGAAACTTATACTTAGAACCAGAAAGAGACAATTGAAATATCTAGGGAACAGAATGAGGAAGGAGGGCTTAGAAAATGTGACACCCACAGGACCTATTGAAGACAAGAGAAAAGTAAGCAGCAAATAACCTACCTAATGAGTGTGTATAAATGATTAGCAGAGTAGGGATTAGCCGAGATAGCAAAAAGACAAAATTTACTAAGGGCTACAAAGGACAGGAAGTTGTGGAGAGTCTTGATTGTCCATGTTCAGAAGGAACACGGTACATAGAAGAAGAAGAAGAATCTTGCTTGTGTAATGTGTATGTGGTGTTGTAGACAATTTAAAAGTTGCAGTTTAGAATATATATACTGGTTGTAACAGCAAAATTGTCCAAAACGTGTCGCATCATGGGATATTTGTCCATGCTACAAAATGTTTAATGACTAAAAAAGCAACTAAACTAACTGAGTTTCTTTTTTTTTTTTTTTTCGAGTTTTCAGATGAAACGTTTAGCCATCTTGACACCATTTGTCGTAAGAATCACTGAAAAAACCTTTGAGTTGTTCAGCTAAAAAGAGAACAGGTTAGCCCCACTATATCTGAGCAATGGTGAAAGGAAAAAGATCATTCAGACCTTCAATAATGGTACGAATATTCATACTCTGGATTCCATCTTCAAAGTCCATTCAAGAACCATCAAGAGAACGGTGAATAAGTTTAAAAAAGAGGGAACAGTAGAGATGAAAACTGGATCAGGAGGTCACAACAGGAAGAGGGATCATCATTTCAAATTAGAGCTAAATACATTCTTATTGTTCAAATAGTGTTATAAAAACCTTAGAGATTTCCAGTAAGATATCTTTAATCATTTCTAAGATTCAATGGTTCAAAGCTTAATCTAACCATTGGACAATTTTGCTGTTACAAGATTTGGACAATTTTGCTGTTACACCCAGGCTACACACACACACACACACACACACACACACACACACACACACACACACACACATATATATATATATATATATTGATACAGACCTACATATAGATATTATTCTTGAGTCAAATCACCAGGTAGCAGTTCAGAGCTCTTCTGGGACTCCCCAAAGACCAAATTAGGAATTTGTCCTTGAATGACATATGGGACCCCATGTGGTGATCATTGCTAAGACGATAACACTTGACACCTATACACTGCGTTCTATAAATATATCTACGAGGGCAGAACATTTATATAAGTCCTACCTTATTAGTAAATGTTCTTTGATTACAAAAATACTGAGCAACCTGTAAAATAATTAAATAAATCATTGAAATACTGTACTGACTTTTCCCAGATGACCATTGTTAATTTTACTAATGTCATTATTATCAGTTCTATGATGGCAAATAATATCGTATTTTTCAGTGTATAAGACGCACTTATTTACCTCAACAATTTGATAATATACATGAGTTTTAGTCTTCAGAATGAAATAGACTTTAGAGTAAATGTCTGCAAAAAAAAAAAATAAATAATTTTGATGCACTGTAATATATAGTAACACTATTGTATAACTTTGGGGCTTCGTGGGTAGTGCACACTAGACCCCATATTAATATCACTCTGTCGGATAACCCAGAAGTTGAAATCAAAGGAATATTAACATAAAATTACATTGTATCATCAAGTAAAATGTAAGGTTTAAATATACATACATATAAATATACATACATATTTTACACTGGATATCAGAATAAAGACATAATCATTAATTCTTACCATTTACATAATTTCTGTTTAAATGGATATTAAAAGTCAATCAATAAATATGAAAATTTATATATATATATATATATATATATATATATATATATATATATATATATATATATTGATAATATTAGTGGTTAATATACACATACATATGCAATCATATATTTAAAATATCTAAATATATATACATACATACATACATACATACATACATACACATACATATATATATGTATAAAAAATAATTCCAAGAGGATAGAATCCAGGTAGAACTCAATGTCCAGGACAGAGTAAGGATATAATAAAAAGGCTTAAACACTAATATTCCATGGTCATAATTTATTTCATTGGAATCATAAATATGGTCCAATTCATCAGACCTAATGAATTAATGAAAATCTTGGTAATCCGTATGGATAATCCCAAGGAGGATGAAATCCGGAGAGCTCAATGTTCAGTCAGAGCAAATAATATAATTTAAAGAAAAAACAGACCACTTTAAGGTACCATTGTAATAATTTATTTCACCAGAGAATTTATTATTCTCTGGATCTTCAGACTTCACTTTCAAGTAAATTTCACTTTCGGTAAATTTTAATTTCATTTTTTCAATCATGTGGGGGACGAATTATTTACAGATCTTGACACCAAAGACACAGATCTTGACACTTCCCTTTCATGGGCTGGATGTGGCAAGTCTCTAGCTGCTCTATCGCTATATTCACTGAAAGTGCTCAGTCGAACTACTTTCCAGTCCTAACCTTCATGTCAAGGATCTGCCATGCCACTCACATTGTAGCAAACCACCCACATTCCCTCCGTCTTCCATTGGTGAGAAGTAAGTTCCACTCGAACAGCTTCTTTCCATGAACCACTACCCTGTGAAACCAACTCCCATGACAATGTTTCTCTGATCACTACAATCTTAACCTGTTCAAGTGTAGGGTTAACAGTTTACCTTTCCCCTCCTATCTGTACAAACTGCCTCCTAACGTAACACTCTACGTCGAGTGGCCTCCGGACCTTGTACAGGGAGAACCTTACTGTAAAAAATAAAAATAAAAAAATAAAAAACTCGAGAAAGGGAGAAAAACAAAAAATATACAAAATGAAAACATATATCTAGAACAAACATTTTCAACTAACGGTTTCAAAAGTTAAGGAAGCATGCCGTTGACATATGAAGATGTATTCAGAGCAGATTGGTCAAATGATTCGAGATTTTTGGTTGATTTCAACTCACTTAAAGAGTTAGTGGATGGAATGGTCTCTTAGATTTTTATGGTTAGAATAAACCACCTTATTCTTGCCTAGGGTTTTGGAAAGTCAATCAGTTTCTTTTTTTTATGCACTATGTCTCCTCAGGGGATAGGTAATCAGACCTTTCCTCAACTTCCTGTCCCTTGTAGCTCCTAGTAAACTTTTGATTATTTCTCCTAAGCTCTGTCACTCACTCACTCACTCACTCACTCACTCACTCACTCACTCACCACTCCTCCCCCTCTTTGTCTCACTCACCTCCTCTCTTTCTCTCTCTCTCTCTCTCTCTCTCTCTCTCTCTCTCTCTCTAAAATTCCTCTTCTCTTTTGAGGTGTGTATGTAAAAGAGGCTTCTTTACAGATTCGTCCCTCACCAAAATGACTAGTAAGATTGCAAATACAATAGATTGATGCAACTAGCTAGTACTGTTTAATTTTTGGTTAATTTAGCAAATTATAGTAAATAAATGTCTGTAAAAAAAAAACGAAAATACTTTTGATGCACCCTAATATATATTATCAATAATATACATGAGTTTTAATTTTTGATAAGTACATGAAAATAAGCTTTAGAATGAAGATCTGAAAAACAAAACAATAATATTTTTGACCGTAAAACTATTAATAAAATTATACAGGGTTCTTAATCTTTAGATAAATACATGAAATAAGCTGTAGTTTAAAGGTCTGAAAAAAACAAAAATGCTTTTGATACTTCACAATATATCATAACACTATAAAATACATGGGTCTTAGTCTTTAGATAAGTACCTGAAATAAACTGTAGTGTAGTGTAAAGGTCTGTAAAAAACGAAAATACTTTTGATACATCGTAATATGATAACACGATTAATAAAATACATGGGTCTTGGTCTTTAGATAAGTACATAAAATAAGCTTTGGAGTAAAGCTCTGTAAAAACGCGAAATATTTTTGATGCACCCTATGGTAAAACTTAATAATAAAGAGGAGTCATAGTCTTTAGATGGGTATTTTTAAATAAGCTTTGGTGTCAAGATCTGTAAAAGACAAAAATAATTTTTAACGCACGAAATAATTATAAAATATATAATTTGCTCTTTTATTAATACACTTCCATCAAGTAAAATTCTATTAAAAACATCTCAGATACAACATAAATAGGCAATTTTCAGCAGACAGACTTGTTTATAGGAACAAATGTCAACCTAATATGATTATCTCAGAAAGCGCTAGCCCTAAAATAACTGTAACAATCTTTATAGCAACTTAGT